GTCAGTAATTGGACGAGAGAGTTTAAGGAATCCCTGGTTTCCAGGACCATTTCTGATCCATCGAAATCATCAGCGCAGGATTTCGCATATTTTTGGCAAGCAGTGAAAAGAGGGAATCCGGCTCTTGCCAACATGCTTGCTTTTGGTACAGATGAAGATGAAGCACTTTATAGCGGGATTCTTAAGGAAACGAGTGGAAAGACCATTTACCTTTTGGGCAAAGAGCATGCCCAAGCAAATGTAGATAAAATTGTAGTCGTTAAATTTTCCTTCAATCCAAAAAAAAATTATCCTGAGTGATATTTTCGGTGGTGCCACGTGCAAAGAAGAAGATACGGAAGCGAAAGTACTCATATTTACAACCGTAAGCTATTGCAACTGAAATCAAAATGGCTTCAAATAAAAAAGGAACACACCAAGCAATCGTCCCGCGAGTCAGTTCGTGGATTATTTTGAAACTCATAAAGAGAAGCAAATGAGGGACAAAATGATTAAAAACGTTCGAAAGCAAGCTTCCATTGGCGGAGTGTGCGGCCAAAATCCAATTGAGTGGCAAAACGTCTTGTCAAAGATGAAATATCCGCCCACGTGCATTCAGAGGGTCGTAGTCATCGAGACGCGACACTTTCAGAGTGCCTAGATGCCTTGAAAGCATGCAGTATCCGTTTATTTAGCAATGTTGTCAAAGCCATATATGATGACGGTCCTTACGTCCTAGCACCAGCTTACCACATGTTTCGTAAAACATATGCCGATTGGAAAGGCATGTCATCAGACGAACAAAAGATGCACATCGCAGCATTCATGGCTTACATTCCTACCGACGATGTACTCTTGCGCTCCGGAGTTCGAAGTGCAGAAAACAAGGAATCCATTCCAACTATTTCCCTGCTAGATGACGAATCACCTGGTTTATCTACGTCAGCACCTAAACAAGATTATCTTCAAGTCACAACAAATCTCGAATTCTCCTCCACCAAATTTCTACCATCGGTCCAAGCCAGAGGTTAAAGGCCACGACGTTCTAGACAAACCACGACGCACGCTTTCGTATCGCTTCAAGAAGCTTCGGTTCTAAATGATGTTTTGCCTCCTCACCTTTTAGCAGATGCTTTAATAAAGCCTTAATTTTTGGGTACAGTTAATAAGAAACGCGATACGACTTTAATTGTGACAAGTATACTCAGTTCAACACTTGGTTTATTATGGAATAAGGTCATAGCCTCGACGGCAGACAAACTGAAAGACGGCGAAATTCGTAAGATTGTCGTACGCGAGTTATATGATATCAAGTCTAAAATCGATGGCCTTTCTAGATCAACTTCACTCGCCAGTTATAATTTTCTAGAAGAAGGAATAGAGTTACTCAGTGTTTCTCTCGATAAATCAAATCTTTAGTAGAAAGAGAGCGAAACTCACGACGAACCAGGTGAACTTTCGAGCGTTATTCTGTCTGGTATCTTAACCAAGCAATAGAGCTTCCTCCAGCCAGGAAAAAGCTTAAAATCAACTCGGACAGAGAGTTAGAAACTGCGAGAAAACGATTCGAGGAAGCGCGCAAGGCAGCAACCACTGCTTTCTGGAATGAGGCATTTAGTATCGAAGATCGAATTTTTTGCAGCGAAGCTACGAATAGTTTCAAAAATAGTGGAACATCTCGATTATCCTGAGACCGCAATCACCGAATGTTTATCGTTTTGGAAGAAGCTGCATAGCTTACAAGCCATTCAACTGATTCAAGAGATATTCTCAGTGTCTTTGAACGATGGAGTCAAATCGTTGTTGAATAAAACTCAACGGGTGGAGAACGTCTGTCGGTTATGTTAATCAACTATGTGTTGTTTCAATATGTTTGCAAATTCAGTAATAAATGTTCATTTGAAGTGTCCGCCTGCATGCCAACGATTGAACTTCCCACTCGCAGTTTTCATCCAATAATAAGCTGGCACGAAATTTCAGCAAGAAATTCTATAAAAGAGGAATTGCCTCATCCTCCAAACGAACAGACCCTTCATGAAAAAAAAGAGCTTCTCTATATGCTGTGAACAGTCAGGGGGTGTTCTTACTTTCCCTCGTACTCCGCCTTATGAGAAAATTATGATTATCCAGGAGGAAGGAAAAATTAAACGGATTGAATTACCTGAATTTACAGGCAATATTTTAATGGCCCTTTCTGTTGATATCAATAACAATGTTTACGTGCTAAAAACATACTGGTGAAGATTCCTGTTGACGATATTGAACGAGAATTACAATGTAAAAGCAGAAGACAAATTAGATTTGCTCGAGGACAAAATATCTTCTGTAGTTAGAATCGCAATATGCAAAGACGATGATATCATCATCATCCAACACAGAGGCCTGATGTGTATGTTTGTAACAAGATGTGTCAATTGAAATACAAATTTGACAACGACTCAAGTGAGGCATTTTCATTGAGTATTTCCCAGCAGAATGAAATCATGATACCAACAAACGATCATACGGCAGTTCAAATATACACCAAGGAAGGAAATCTGAAGACAACAATAAAAGTCCCAGACCATCATAAAGTTGTCAGAGTGGCATTTCACTAGGTTATTTGTAAAATATTGGTTCTAACCGTGGTAGGGGAAAAAATTCCTATTTCTTTCTGCGCTACCCTGAAGCAGGCGGGAAGCTGGAAACTCTTATCTTCTTTTGTAAAGTTGTCGATGTGCAGTATCCATATCTGGTATCCCATAATGGCCCTATTGTTGTTGTAAGAGAAGGAAACTTCACTTACCTATGATGAGACTCAATTGTTATAAACAACCATTTTCTGCCTAAAACACAGTAAATATACTACCGCTACTTTCCTGAAACAGTAACAGGAACCTTTCAATAAACTAAAGTAAAGCAAACAATAGATGTTGCTAGATTTATAAAATTTGTGAGCTGTTTCATTCACGTGGTCTTGTTTCCGTTGTAAGGAACACAAGCGTAACTTATATTTAAATATTGATCCAAAAAACGTTCTTTGATCTTGAAATTAAATTAAAGATAATCATGTTTTTGTCTATCGTTTTATGCCAAATTTTTCCAGGCTTATTTTTTCGGTGAAGCCAAAAAACGAATTAATAATTATGACGAAGTTTCTATCCCATGTGCATGATGATACGATTTTAATTCAACGCCAATGTTTCTTCATATGAATTGATTTTTGTATCAAATAACCGAAGACATGCGGATCTCGTTCAAGTAAACTTTCCTATTCATAATGGAATATTGAGGGTACGTGACATTTTACTAAACCTTTGTGACGATTTGCTGACAAGTGCAATTTTCGTAATTCGGGTGTGTGTGTACATTGACATATTCCAACTTCGCAGGCCAGGCTATTCTACCTACGCTCCACGACCCACGCTGCGGCGAAAACCCTGGTTAAGGCTGGTCATGTGACAGCGCAAAAATTTTTAATTAGCGGTTAGTTCATATGCAAGGGAGGGGCGGAAAAGGGCTATCTTTAAAGGCTAGTTTCCACTCAGGAAAATTCTCCTTTGGATCGGAGGGGACGGAAAAGTTTCTTTTGTATAAACGCCGCCTGAGAACTCAGCGACAAAAGAAATTTTACTGTCCATTCCGATCCAAAGGAGATTTTCCTGAGTGGAAACTAGCCTTAAAACCAGTTACGGGGAATCGAGGAAGGGAACGGGGGACGATAAAACAAGGAATAGGAAAAGCCAGAATCTTTAAAACAAGGAAAGGGAAAAGCCGGAATCTTTAAATCAAGGAATGAGAAAAGCCGGAATCTTAAAAACAAAGAATGGGAAGAGCCGTGGGAATGAGCCGGATCTTTAAAACAAGGAACGAGGAAAGCCGGAATCGTTAAAACAAGGATAGAGAAAAGCCGGAATCTTACGGCTGGAAGTTTGTAACTAAATTAGTTACTCAATTTCCGCGCGAAATACAAAATATGGCAATTTGGCATGGCTATATTTCCGTATTTTACCAATTAAAGTTGTCAAAGATCTTTTCCGTCAGTTCACTCAATTGCTTTCAAAGAAGATGCTCGAAAATTTTGTCAACGGTTATCAGTATGGTAACCGGTGCTCTAATTGGTTTTGGAAAGGCGATCGCCCTTTTTGTGCACTGAAATCCATTCATCCCGTTTCCAGTCCAACGGTCACACTCCATGTCGGATTACTTTATTGTATAATGCATTAAGCTTGCCTCCTCCGCAGGCATCTCTTATGTATTTATATTAGGCATTTATAATTGGCTTTGGTTAGCTTTGTCGGGGAGCGAGAAAAAAAATTGCTGATCTCTCCCACTTTTTCCTCGCCTTCCCCGACACAGCTAACCCAAGCGAAATATAAATGCCTAATATTAATACATAAGATATGCTTGCGGAGGAGGCTAGCATTAAGCATAGTAGAGACTTCTTCTGCTATCTTTCGTTAAGCAATAGGAGGTATAATATCGGGTCCTGTAGCCTTGTTGGGATTTAGCTCTTGGTTTGAATAGCCAACAACATTCCATCATAATCAAATTAATTTTAATGTAATAAATATATCTAGTTATGTTAGTTATTAAGTTAATAAAAGGATACTGTACGAGTGACTGCTAATCAGTTAAGCGTCAGGAGAAGTACGAGATAGAACGAACGGTTGATTTACAAATAGTTGTGTTAGACAAAGTCCTACGGGGATCCACCCTTCAGGTACTGAACTTTATCTGTTTGCATGTATGTTTGTAGTGTGATTAGTGTTTATGTTAATGTTTAAGTTTAGTTTGATTCATCGTATGAACTAAGAAAATGATTGGAATGCATGTATCTTTATACCTTTTACTTATATATAGTTAAACTTAATCTTTTCTATAGAATATATTTTCAATAAATATTAAAGAAATTCCCGTTCGACTTGCGTTTAAAGTAGCAGTGCCAAACAACTTCTGAAGGATATGTGTGCCGTTTAGTAGGCAAAGAGAGTGTTTGGTACAAGTAATTTGAGAATCAGAGAGTTATTACGAAATGTCGGACTCAGAATCAGCCTCTGTAGCCGAAACCCCTGAACTTCAGAGTACAATTAAAACTAAGCGAAAGCAGTTAAGAGCCAGGATAACCCGTTCCATAAAACGTATTAAGGAGTACATTCAACAGAACAGTGAGAACAAAAAACGATTTGATAAGGAGATAAGGGAACTGAGATGCGATTTTGGAAAGGCACGCGATTTGCACACGCAATTGTACGATTTCGCAGACGAAACGCAAACAGCAGCACTAGATAAATGGGAAAATGAATTAACGAATGACGTTTATTCGATAGAAGAAGAAATTGAACTGTATCTTAGTACACTTTCAATGCCGGGGGCATCCCAAATCCCAAGTACCACGGAAAATATGCAAAGTATGCAAGATATGCCGCCTCTTGAAGAGCCTGAAACTCGGTCTACAAATACGGACAACATTCCAGCAAACGAAGTAAATATAATCCCACAAGTGAATGAATCCCCACAAGAAAATGTAGTTCCACAAGCAAACGAATCCTCCCCAGTAAACGAAACCCCCCCAGTTTGCCCCATTTCAACACGAGTTAGTTTAAATCCAAACCCAGCGCCATCTACAACAAGTTCCCGTCCCTTTGATGCATGGATAGACGATTTGACAGAGTTTAAGGAAACCGTATTGCCTGAAGTGTCACAAGCCGTGTCAATAGCTGATGCACTTTATAAATTAGAAGCCAGTAGGGATATACCGACCATCAAACTTCCTAAATTTAGCGGCAACGCGCTTGTCTATGCTGATTTCATAGACCGGTTCAAAATCCATATTCACGACAAACCACATTTGACAGACGATAGGCGAATGATTCAGCTAAAAATGCATGTTACTGGAGACGCAGAACGCGCGATCTCAGGTGTTGGTTCCAAGGGCGTTATGTATGCAACGGCATTAAAGATTTTAAAGGAACAGTTCGGACAGCCAAGCACAAATGCACGTTGTTTGGTAAATCGGCTTACCAAAGGTGATAAAATCCAAAGGAATGACAGGAATGCGCTTCGAGAACTTTCGATCGATTTAGTTAATTGCGTGGCGACGATGCATCAAGTCAAGTACTTCGCTGACGTAAACGCGAGTGATAATTTGCGAAAGATAGTAATGAGATTACCGGATTATCTCATCCAAAAATGGAAAGGCGTTGTTATAGAGATTAGAGACAAGCAGCGAGCCCCAACGATTAACGATATAGCCACCTTCCTCAGAAAACAAGTTAAGGCGGAGTTTGATCCTGATTTTGGCGACGTAACGCTAAGACCCCCCAAGTACGACACGCGAAGAGGCGATGGAAAGGACAGAAATGGCATACATTCAGCACAAAAAACCTTGAAATGCTTCGTGTGTGATGGAGATCACAAAGTCGTAGAGTGTCCCACCCTAGCTGATTCCACGGTTCCAGAACGCTTGACCTTAGCGAAGAATGCAAGATTGTGCTTCTCGTGTTTAAACAAAGGACATACGTCGAAGGAGTGTAGATCTAAGAAAAGATGTGAGAAAGACGGATGCACCCGTATGCACCACCAACTGTTGCACGAAGAACCTGGGACGATGGGAGCTATGTCATCTATATTAGACAGAGGAAGCATTCTACCAGTCGTCAGAGTTTGTTTTAAAGCGCCAAACGGTCGAACACGCGAAGGAAATGTACTCATGGATAGCGGGGCGGGTACAACGGTTATAAGAAAGGATTTTGCACGATCTCTTGGCTTGCAAGGAAAACGAGAGAAGATAAGTCTAGCTGTAGTTGGAGGAGAGAAAGTCGACGAGCCAGAAAGCAGAAGAGTGTCATTTTCCATCTCAGCACTAAACGGTTCTGAAGAGCATAAAATTGAAGCCCATGAGATTGCGAGAACTGTTCTAAGTGTTCCACGTTTGGATCGGTCGTAGCTGAAGTCGTTCACCCATCTTCGAGACGTCGAATTTGCGCATAAAGCTGGTCCAATCGATCTTATCTTGGGAGTCCAGTACAGTCATTTACACGCAGAAGATGAAGTGCGTCAAGGTCGTCAGTTTGAGCCTGTCGCGAAACGAACAAAGGTTGGCTGGTTTGTCATTGGTGCTGATAGTTCAAAGAAGACATCCAACATATACTCAGTACGTCTGGTCCAACCTGTTAATCTTGAAAAATTCTACGAGTTCGAAACCCTCGGTATTCAAGCCCCTCAGTATCAATGTCCCGAATCAGCTATGTCAATTGAAGATAGAAAGGCGATCGAGTTAATGGAGAATTCCTGTAAGAAAAGGGGAGAAAGATACGAAATTGGTCTTCCTTGGAAGAAAGATAAGGGTTTTCTACCCAATAACTATGTTCTTGCCGAGAAAAGGTTGCATTCGCTGGAAAGAAGTTTGCGAAAGAACGGTGATAAAGCTCGTTTGTACCATGAAGTCATGAACGAATACGAGAGAAATGGTTGGTCGCGTCAGTTATCGAAAGAAGAAGTCGAAGACAAAGATAAACCGGAGTATTACCTGCCTCATCACGGAGTTTATCGACCGGAGAAAAAGAGTACCCCTTGAGAGTCGTATTTGACCCTGCTTGTCAATATCATGGTGTGTCGTTGAATTCGTTCCTTTACAAAGGTCCCTGCCTAATTGGAAATCTGCTTGGAGTGTTATTACGCTTTAGAGAAGATCTCGTTGGTCTCGTCGGAGATATTTCGAAAATGTATTTGCAAATCCTCCTTCCAAAAGAAGACACGCTGGTCCATCGTTATTTATGAAGAGATTTGGATGAAAGTCGCGATCCAAAGGTTTATGCGCTTCAAAGAGTTACGTTTGGAGACAAACCATCACCTGACATGGCAAGCTTTGTTATGATCAGAATTGCGAATGAAGACGAGTCTCAGTATCCACGAGCTGCTGTGATTCTCAAACGTGACCGATACATGGATGATCTCATCAATTCAACGAATTCAAAAAGCGAAGCAGAGAAAAGCATAAACGAAGTCGACAGTGTGTTGGCTACAGGAAGCTTTAAAATAAAGGAATGGTTCGTTTCATCGCCAAGTGAAGACGAAAGAGACAAGGACGTTTCAAGTCCTGAAGAAAGGAATTCAAAGCAGGACGAGATTGAGCTAAATAAAGGAAGTACAGCGACAAACGAAGTTAACCTTGACGGTGAAGAGGGAATCAAAACCTTAGGAGTCAACTGGAATCCGCAGTCGGATGAGTTTAGTTTCTCGGTAAAGAAGATAAATGACGAAGAAGCGTTAACAAAGCGAACAGTTCTTTCGAGAATTTCACGTCTGTTTGACCCTCTGGGTTAGACCTCCGTGGTAACCATCAAGGCAAGAGTTGCTCTCCAAGAAATTTGGAAGGCAAAGAAGTACGACTGGGATGATCCATTGCCTGATGAAATGCGCGATTTGTGGTACAAACTTTTCAGAGAGCTGGAAGAGTTAAATGAGATTGCAATCCCACGTTGTTTACGTCCTCGCTAGATTTGTGGACCATCCGAATTGCACGTTTTCGCCGACGCAAGTGCTACAGCTTATGGAGCAGTAGCTTATCTTCTCTGGCCTACTTCCAAAGGTCCTAAAGTGAGTCTAATCGCCTCGAGAGTTAGAGTTGCCCCTTTACGTCAGGCAACTATTCCACGATTAGAACTTATGGCATCATTGGTTGCTTCGAGATTGGCAACTACCATTTACAACGAGTTTAAGACGAAGCCAGAAGTGGTTAAGCTGTGGTCCGATTCAAAGATAGTTTTGCATTGATTGCAGTCCGATTCTACAATGTTGAAAGCGTTCGTGGGCGTTCGTGTAGCTGAGATACAGTCAACGTGGGAGTCAAGTCATTGGCAACATGTTCCTTCCGCCTTGAACTCGGCAGATGATCTAAGCCGAGGAATAAAAGTCAAAGACATGCCTGGTCGATGGTTTCAAGGACCGAAATTCCTTAAGTTGCCAGAAAGTGAATGGCCAAACGAGAGCGTGGAAACTGATACAGAGAATGACACAGAAAGAAAGAAACCCAAAATTGTGGGCAGTGTCAATCCCGAAACCCCATGTATTGATCCAAAGAAGTATTCAAATTGGCAACGGTTAGTCAGAATTACGGCTTATTGTATCCGTTTTGGTCGTAACGCTCGAGTCAGTGTACAAGATAAGTCGAGGATAGAGTTGGGTCCTCTTCAACCTGGTGAATTAAACGAGGCCAAAGAATTCTGGATTCGAAGAGCACAGAGCACGATAGTCGACTGGAAAAATCATTGCAAGGATCTTGTACCCTTCGTCGAGAACGACATCATCCGAGTTGGTGGACGCCTCAAGAGAGCTTCCCTTCCCTATGATCAAACACATCCCATCCTGTTACCCGGAAACCACCACGTATCAAAGTTAATAATGGAAGAATTCCACGAGAAAGTTTGCCACGCTGGCTGTGAAAGAAGCCTTTCTGAAAGTAGACGTGAGTATTGGATTATTGGCGGACGGCGTATGGTAAAGAAAATCATCAAGAACTGTTTGATATGTCGTAAGTTTCGTCAGCGACCCCACTCCACCTTGATGGCAGACCTTCCTCGAGAGCGAGTGAAACCATTTTCCCCACCATTTACAGTAACTGCATGGCGTGGATCTGTTCGGTCCATTCAGTCTTAAAGTTTCGAGAAACAAGAGTGTTAAAGCCTGGGGTGCAATTTTCACTTGTGCTACAGTACGGGCTATCCATTTAGAAATCGTCGAGAGTATGTCAGCCGAAGCCTTTCTCCACGCGATGAGACGATTCGCTTCCCATCATGGTTGGCCAAGCACGATAATTTCCGATAACGGTACGTCGTTTGTTGGAACAGAGAGATTATTAAGAGAGCTATTTACAAAGTTGCGAAAGAAGCTCGAAGATTTCGCAACCCTACATCAACTTCGCTGGATTTTTACCACGCCCCGGAGCCCTCATCAAGGCGGAATTTATGAAAGCTTGATAAAACAAGTGAAACGTGCCATTCGAGTGGTGATCGGAAGCCAACGGTTATCTTGGAACGAAATGAACACAGTGTTTGCCGAAGTAAAGTCGTTGATCAACGGAAGACCCTTAGGATACCCATCGAACGATCCCAATGATTTACAACCCCTTACCCCTAACCATTTCCTCATCGGTCGAGCATCGAACAGCGTTCCTCACGGGTCATTCGAAAGAAGTGAAATCTTAAGTCGAAGGTTTGAGTTTGTCCAAAGCCTGGTTCAGCAATTTTGGAAGAGATTTATTCGAGAGTATCTCCCGACGTTGCAGAAAAGAGGAAAGTGGCGATTAAAAGAACGACAGATGAAGATTGGCGACTTGGTCTTGATGGTCGATTATGAGACACCGCGCGCGGAAATGGAAGTTAGCCCGAGTTGAAGAAGTTTACCCTGGAAAGGATGGTGTGGTAAGGAATGTTTTGGTCAAAACGCAGCATGGTCATTACAAAAGGTCGGTGCAACGTTTATGTGTTTTAATAGAAGCTAGTAGCCCATGAACGAGCATCCACGAACTGTGGCCCCGGAGGGTTGGTTTGAATAGCCAACAACATTCCATCATAATCAAATTAATTTTAATGTAATAAATATATCTAGTTATGTTAGTTATTAAGTTAATAAAAGGATACTGTACGAGTGACTGCTAATCAGTTAAGCGTCAGGAGAAGTACGAGATAGAACGAACGGTTGATTTACAAATAGTTGTGTTAGACAAAGTCCTACGGGGATCCACCCTTCAGGTACTGAACTTTATCTGTTTGCATGTATGTTTGTAGTGTGATTAGTGTTTATGTTAATGTTTAAGTTTAGTTTGATTCATCGTATGAACTAAGAAAATGATTGGAATGCATGTATCTTTATACCTTTTACTTATATATAGTTAAACTTAATCTTTTCTATAGAATATATTTTCAATAAATATTAAAGAAATTCCCGTTCGACTTGCGTTTAAAGTAGCAGTGCCAAACAGCTCTCGTAATGAACCCAAAACGTCAGAACATGTAATCTCTCTAAAGCTGAATAAATTATCGTACCATTTTTCTTGAATTTTACTACGCTACTAGTTGTGTGTAGGGTATTGAGCGTTGCATTTCAATACATGAAATCGGTGCTGTTATCAGAAAAATCCATAACTTATCTACTCGTTCACATATATCAAAAGAAGATGGCAGCAGTAATTGAAAATGTAAACATGTCTTAATATGTACCTCTCCAATAGCGACATCTCTCTGATATGAACATATCAAGTCAAGTCCGGAATTGCAAAGTTAACCCATCCCCTGCTAATGATGTGATTTATTGCAAGTGCGTGAAGAGATAAACAATTGTGATATCAACAGCCCGTGTAACTCAGGTATATTTACTAGTCAAGGCCCTGCAAAGGAGTTTGTGTGCATTTCATGCAAAACAGGTTATCTCAATTGTTTTCGGGTAAAATGACCATGGCGGTCATAACCGCCATAGCTCTAAATCCTGAATTATCAAAGCTACAGTCTTTCTGAATTGCTTATATGGTTCAGAATGGTTGCTTTTAGGGGTGGTCACTGGAGGGTGAAATTATCATCAGTTTTATATTTTACAAGCAAATTATGTTTACCATTCCAGGTCAACTGCTAATTAGGCATAAAATTACTGATTCACCCGGAAAAGTCTAATTTTTTCTATTTTCTAAAAATGTTCGCCATATGATGAAAAAAATGCTTTTAATATATTTATTATAAATTTCCAAAGAAATAACGATGTTTTGTTGCGATACGACATATTTCATTTCACTTAACCCCCACTAAAACACAATTTCAGCCATATTTTGCAAATTTAATCGCTGTTTTTCGTCGTCCGTCGCAAGCGCCTTCTAAACATGGTACTCTAACACGACTCTAGTTGACTAAAGAATTCTTTCCGCCATTGATTTCATCAATTATGTCGCCATTGCAATGGCATAATC